CGGGGTACCGTGACTGAGCTTTTCCCACCGAAATTGAACAGAATAGACGACCACCAGGGAGAAGGTGGTCTGGCAGGGTTTGGGACTGACCCCTACAGCCAGTTTACGTATGAAATCCGTCCCCAAAGGCCCGTCGCGCCTGCGGCGGTTTGGCACCCTTGGACTCCTTGGAGGACCTCGATCGAAGGCACAGTCAAGGACTCTACCCCCCCTACTAGTAGCAAGAAGCTACTAGAGGCCATCGCAAGTAGGTCGGAAGCCATCGCTACTAGTAACAAGATGAGAAAAGTTTGCTTCTTTTGCTTATCACTAATGGGGAACATATTAAAACACACACACACACACCCTATAGGTAAAACCAAGAAACGATATCACATCGGGTGATTTGTTTTGTCTGTATGACTGACATGTCTGCTGATGTTTTTGACCTGTGTGGGTCCCAGTTCACATGGGTATTCAAAACCTCTTGAGGGAGAGTTCGAAACATTGTTGATTTGGCTGGGGGAGCCCAAGAAGAAAGCTGTTAAGATTCAGAGTGTTCAACTCAGGTTATGTCTTTGAATATTCTATAGCCCAAACACTCCATGTATCGCATATTCACGTATACATTCACGTTTGAAACCACCCAACGTTGGTATATGAGATATGTGGGTAACAATCCGAGTTTCGCTCCATTGATTTGGCTGATCTTCCTGGAGTCACAAAATGGTCGAATCCATTCATCGTCCTATGCGTCCTGGCCTACTCCTGCCCGGCCTAGAAGTTTTCTTACTGCAACAGAAGAGATCACGGAAAGACAAGAAGATAAAGCCACGGACTTCTTGAGCCTAATGGGCCAGGTCTTTTTGGGAGAATCTGCAGAAACAAATAACGCCCATGCCCACTCCATGTCATGGAATATCTGGGCCGGAAAAGGTTTGGTCCGCTGCGAAGGTGGACAAATCCGAACCCTATTAATTAGGGCTGTGTAAGATAACAATATGTTTACCTCTCCATGCTTGGGGGATGAGTCAGTAGACCAAGGTCGAGCACGGAAGTTCCAGGAAGGAACCGATTCAATGAACGCATATATCGGAATACCTTGAATATTGTTTACTGGACTGGCACACATTTCCATTTGCTCAGGTTTGTTGAATCAAGTGTCTTTTCTGGATAGTGTGCATGCATAGTATAGGCTACAAAATCCATCTACCGAACAGCAACAAAAACACAACACATAATCCAACACATGATCAAATAGTCTTAAAAGGCCTAATCAAATCATCCAAAGCAGCATGGTGATGAGATCATGATTGATCTCCTCCTTGGGATTATCTTCAAATCTCGAATAAGGAGTGCAAGCGTGCGAGATTCCCTACGGACGTCCAGTCTGACACAATAAAACCAGGTCTTGTACCTCCTGAAGTACTGTTTTTTGTATGACCAGGTCCAGGTAAACCAGGGATTAAACAAACAAAAACTGAACGCAAATAGTAATTACCCTGAATCCTCTTCTTGAGGAGTACCAATGCGTTCAACCTCCTTTCACTCTTCCGTCTCCGCTCGATGCCGTGTGCCTGCCATCAGCTGCTTTCGTGCCACCGCCAGCACCCGGCTTGCGCAAGGCGGGCCTCTTGCTGGGCCGCTGTGCAGGTGTCCTCCGGGCGGAAATGGGCGGGGAGGAAATGTGTTGACGGTCTGGTGTTAGGGAGAAATCCAGCTCAGCTGAACTCAGCTCTGAATCTGTGATACATGACAAAAAGCAGTGAGTGCATAGAAAACCTGTGTTCTATCCTGGCAGAAGGACCTGTCTTTCTCACAGGTTTGATGTCATGGAGTTGAAGCATGCGCAGCTTGCGTGCCAAAGTCGGAGCTAACTCTTGGTCCTATATAGTCATCTCTGGCAGAAAACGAGGAATCAGCACATGCGACAAAATCTCGGAATCGAAACATGGTGCAGTTTGTTCTTAAACATGATATAATTACCCTCCAAAGTACCTTAGAAAATGGGACATGAACCTATAAAAACAGGTACTTGTACCCATTTTCTGAAGTACTTTGAGACTCCAGGTATATAAGTAGATACCTGGTTCTCTTGGATGTGCTTAAGTTTAAGGAACCGGGACAATATATACAAAGCGCCAAACTATTCCAGACGATGCGGATCCACACAGTTCGGGAACACCCCAAACATCGGTCTTCTTCAGTTCGTGACCAAACAATAAGCAGAAGCTTCGGATGATTTTCAGCGGGTCGGGGGGGGTAACTGGGTTTGGGCGAAGGGAGCTTCACCATGAGATTCACATTTGACCCCAGTTACTTTGGCATCAAACCATCGATCTCTGGGTTCGGCAGCGCCGCTCGTCGGGTTTTAAGGTTCGACTTTTGAGAATTCTTCCCGTCTCGACTTGTTCAGGTGATGACTAGCCGGGTTCCCTTCGACAGGGCGTTCGAACGAGTCTGGGGGCATCGACCCATCAATTCGGGTGGTGGATTTCGGGGTTCTTTTCAGGAACTGCATATCTGGCAGTGACGACCGTCGTGTCTGGGTAACATGGACCGCAAATTCCACCTGGACCTTCACCTGGATTTGCTTAAAGAACACAGAAAACATCAGAACACAACAGTTCCCAGAAGGGAATTTCACAGTTCGGGATTCGGGAAGATACCAAATCAACCTAAATCACCTAAGAATCCTTGGTCCCTCGCAGGGGGTGGGCCTTCTCTCTATGTGTTGCTTTGGGCCCGCATTCTATCCGGGTTCAGCAACTGAACTCCCCAGGACCCCCAGGACCCCCACCGGACCGGGGGCGGTCACCCTCCGCCCACGATCGCCATCCTTTCCATCGCGCAGGAGGCCGAAGACTCCGAGGTCTAGGCCGAAGACCCAGATCTGTGTCCCACCAGCCGCGATTGGAGGGTTCGACTGACCTCCAGGTGTACTGGCCAAGCCAGGGTCAGAGACCACGAGAAACGAGCCTCGCAAAAATGTGGCCACGCTGCGATGTGTTACAGGTCTTTCAGACCTCATCTTCATTCAAGTTTTCCTCGCAGTTCGTCGCACAAACTGTTCCAAAAACGATCCAGTCCCTTTAGGACTAGGGTCACACATTTTTCGGCACGGTCCAAATCAGTTCTCAGGTCAATCTTGTCTGCACCTCAATGAAGTACTTGGGACCATCGTACTTCTGAACTGTAAACATATTAAATATAGACATCATAGACCTGCTCCTATGGCGCATGTGATTCATTCGTCACTTTTGAGGGTCGGTGCCCCGAAACAAACCAAGCAGGTCGGCCAAGGTCTCAGGTAGGAAGGTCACATGATAGGTCACCGTTGACAGACAGCAATAGGCATATAGGCCCACCAGTGCCACCACTGTAGCCACAAAATGGCATATGCATGATCACTGGCGTTCTTCTTTGCTGCCCTGATCACTGGCGTGAACACATGACATTCCACATTAGTATCTTGGTTGTCGTCGGTTTTGTTGTTGGTAGACTGGTAGAAACTAAAGCAGCTCTTCAAAATGATTGTAACATCCGGAACCCTGGGGGGGCACGGTCAGGGATACGGTTGAAGGTTAGAGGGAGGGTTGGTTTTGCAAATGGCCTGGGTGGATCCGCAAGTTTTTGGTCTGTTGTTCAGGGGCTCCGGCCTTAGTTTTCTTGGTTTCGAGGAGGGTATAGAAACAACAACGCCGCTGTAGGGGGGGTGCCAAGAGATCCACAGGGCTCCAGGTTTAGCTTCAAGGAAGTGGTAGAGACTCTTTCAACAACTGCTACCAATGCCACCAGCACACCATTACCAGTAATACTACTGCTTCCATGACAATTACAACGAATATCACGACGACGACGAAAACTACTACTGCTACTACTACTACTACCACCACAACCACAACCACGACCACTACTACTACCATTACTCCTACTACTCCTACTACCCCTCCTACTACTACTACTACTACTATTACTGCTACTACTCCCACTGTTACTGCTACTGCTACTGCTACTGCTACTCCTACTCCTACTCCTACTCCTACTACTACTACTACTACTACTACTACTACTACTACTACTACTACT